CCGGCGAGAGCGTCACGGACGTCTGCTAGTGCCTGGAATTTGTGAGCTGATGCCACTTCACCCCTACTGCCAGAAACAATAATCTGATGGTCGTCGTCGCTGGCACTAGGATCAATGATTTCCAATGCAACAACGACATCAACAAAAGGGAGCATATGCGAGAAGGTTGCTGCAAAAAATCCTACCAGCTCTGACGTAGGTGGCCAGCAGGTTTGTAGCTGCTGTAGAGCTTCTTCTTCCTCCTCCTGGCTAGGACACCATCCAGTGAAGCTAACGATGGATCTGCTGATGCCGTGCAGAGCTAGGACCCAGCTGCGTGCAGTGTGCTGGAGTCGCCGCGAGACGAAGGCCCTCCCAGCGGACGCATCCAGCTGAGCAAGGTGGAGAACCCAGATGACCTGCAGCTCCCAGAGCCACCTGTCCAAGGGATCCGATCCATGGATGAGGTCCCTCATGTGCTCGCGTGTCTTCGCCTTGTCTTGCTCCGTGGCCGTTTCGTGGCCGACCTCCTCCGTGTCTTCTTCCACGACCAACGTGGAGGTGTTGGGAGCGGGCATGAACGAGTGGAGGACACGAGCAGCTAGAGCTGAGGCGCTGCTGCTGCTGTCAGTGGTTGTGTAGGTGGTGTTGGACAGGGTGGTGCAGGTAGCTGATGAAGCAGTGGTGGTGCTACTGATGCCATAGTTGTTGTTGATGTAATCGGCCAGGTAGGGCTGCGGCGGTCTCTGGTTGGGGTGATGAACGATATCGGCACTGCCGCTCTCGGTGGATGAGACCCTCGACCTCCATGCTCCTCGCCAGGTAGCCGCCATGCCTGCGAGCTAGGTCGCCGGCTATGGGCCTTTTCGCTGCAGGTTCAAGGCTTCAAGCTGATGCAGCTGCTACCTACCGTAGCTCTATAACCTTATGACAGTGTGCATTATTGCCAACGCCATTTCGCTACGTTATTGACTTGACCTCACCTGGATGCTGTGTGGCTGTGGTTCTGCTTCTGCTACCGTTTTCAAAACGGCATCGCAGTGTTGACTTTAGTGCATGGACGTGTTCACACCGAAAAAACCTGACTTGGCGGTAATTGTGCTAAGTATTGGTCGTCTTTAGCTTTCTTTTGTCCGTCGTCCCCGCCGCGTACGTAAGTTGTGCACACGGTCATGCTCCAAGTGGCCAAAAACTCAACAGATCCTTCACGACGTTGTCCACACGGTAAAGAGCATGGCCGCACACGCCACGTACGGGCATACCCAGAGTGAACGACGCAAGCCGATCTCATATCTGCATGCAGATATTCTTCTGGCCTCCTCCCTATCCCTGTCCTCTAAGTGTTTTTTTTTTCTTCGATTCTCTAAGGCTTGTTTGGACCGGAGAAATTCCAAAACAATTACAAAGGAATCTATTCCTATATCAATGTGTTGCATTTTAGTGTTAGGAACAAATTAATGGCAACTTCCTTTCCTCAGGAATGGCTCCCTTCCATGTACAGAATGTAGTAAAGAAAACATCTGTCTGTCTTTTTTTTAGATATAATGGATAGAGTATCCGGCTCCATCACCATCAAAGAGGAATTAGACCAACTTATTACTACTTAACATCACAAGTCGAACAAAGAAGTTTTAAACAATGCAAGTTTTACAAAGGCCATCCATAGGCAAAGAGCCTCATTTCCACGGTCTCCGAAACTTCGACAAACTTCTTTGATACTCATCGTGTTACAATTGGGCCCAATAACCGAAGCCAATGAGTCCCCCTAATAGAACCTGCAAAAGAGATTTGGATCAGTATTTACCAAAATCTATTTTATCTACCATAAAAAGACTGTTGCACCTGTCAATAAAAGAGATAGGAACGCTTGTCTCTCCAAGAATACTATACTAAGCATTAAATAATTTCAAGGCATTTCGTGTTAGGTTAATTCCTAGCACCATATGTATTACGCTTCATAAAAACTTTGTGTGAAAGACTCAGAAAAGATGTTGAATGGTTTCATGTTTGCTACAAAAATAGCAAGATTCTCCATTTCAATTCCTTTTTGCTAAATTATCCTTATTGAGAATAATCCATCTTTTAAAGAAGCAGAGAAGGATTTTTAATCTTCAAAGGAATCTTATAAGCCGCCAAACTATTTGTGATACTTTTATACCATTATTACTAACCAGGTAGCTATATATTGAGCTCACTATGAAAACCCATTTTCATGTATGTCCATACAAAAACATCATTACCCTGCGGTAGACTAATATTAGCCACACCCTTGCTACTAGATGATCCATTCCAGTAGTTTGTTTCCCACTAATACCCTTCTACTCAACATTAAGAGGGATCGAGCTTAATACATCGGCAACATTTGCTTGTTTCCTGCAAACTAGGTTATAAGGTGTTGGGCATTGAGTTTTCAGCGGTTGGCTTCCTTACTAGGTAGCTTCTTAGAACCTGGTTTAGTTACTGTCCTTTAATCTAAAAGTACCCAAACTCAAGAAGGTTTCCTTTACACTAACAAGGCTCATCCAAAAATGTGAATCTTTTTTTTATTTTGGTCCCTATATAATTTTTTATAATTGCCTATGAATCTAGATTCATGGTGGAACTCTCTCAAAAAGGTTCCTCAGAGTCTAGATCCACGGTGAAGCTGCTCCATGGTTGATCTGATGCTCTGAAGTCGCTTTTGTAGATTTAGAGCTCTTCTAAACCGGCCCTAATCTTTACACCTAAAAAGACCGTAAAGTCACCATCTACTCAGTGATACCAAGTTCCGTCTACCTATATTGCACCTGGTCCGCCAATCCCTACGAAGTTTGATGTCCCACGATGGTAGAAGTCAGATGTCTCACCGGCTCACCGGGTCCTACCCAGTTCCCATACGAAGACCGGATCTATGTGTGCTCGTCCGATACAAAATCCTCAGACGTAGCCCCGGTGCAACGTAAGGGCATGTATCTAGTACTAATTTAAGATGCTAACTATTGGTACCAAACATGCTCTAAGTATGTAGCTTGCCCCTTTTTAAAATAGGGACAATATTTAGGACCCTTTGGAACGCATTAATTTCAAAAGAAGTGTACAACAATATCCCAAGAATCTGCTTATTCACAGAAAAACAAAAAGACAAAAAATTCCCGCGTTCACATGGGCTCAACAACTTGTTTGGAACTTGGAAGTACATGTGTGAAGGGGGGGGGGTATCTTGTTGATCAGCACGACGACCCAAGTCAAGTCAGCGACACTTTTCAGGTGAAGCCAATTCCCCAATTCGAGATTGCCGGCAGAGTGGGATCGGAGAGCATGGAAGCCTAAGGTGCCTCAGCATCCCGCGTGCTCGGCGGCGTTTTCAGCGATGTCTCTTGGAAGCAAAGTTCAAAAAGGCGACGCCTAGGCGCGACTAGTCGCTAGTCGAAGGGTGCCCGCCTGGCCTATCTGGGCGCTAGGCGGCGTGGAGGCGGACGCAGAGGGTGAGAGCGCGAAAAATTGCCGCAGCGGGCGAGCGCGTGAAGACTTCCCGCACAGAGGCGGACGCCGCTGTGAGCACGTCTTGGCTGCTAGCTGGCTTCGCCGCAAAAAAAACAGTAAGAAGGATAAGAGGGAGAGGACGCACTTCCGCTTTGCCATTTGCTCCTCCCATTGGCGCCCCCTCCCATGAACACGCTCCTCTCTGGGCGCGCCCCCTCCCGCCGGATGACCTCCCCGTCGGCACCGGTCGTGCTTGTCCCCGCCTAGAAGGTCACCCCTGCCTAGAAGCTCGTCCCTGCCGGCGCACCCCTCCCGCCCCAGTCCCCCTGCTCCTCTCCCCTGCTCGAAGCTCCCCTCCCCTGCATACTGAATGACTGAAGTGATTCAAGTGAATACTGAATGAATGGATGGATACTGAATACATTCTCTTCTGTGAATAATGAATGAATGGATGGATACTGAATCTGTCTTTTGTGATTGCCTAAATGTATTATTGATTGACTGAATGTATTATCGATTTCGATTGACTGAATGTCTGATGTATTGGTCACTGAAATCTGAATGTTTGCTCACTGAACTCTAAAACCTAAATGTATGCTCTGAACTCTTGAATGTAGGATGTCGACAACAGAAACTTATTGAAGAAGAAAGATGATATGGTAGTGGGACATTTTTATCATGTCATGGTTTATCTTTTATGATGCATTCATGTATGTCTTAAACCTATGAACTGTTGTTGTGTGACTATGTTTTTCTTCTTTTGTAAGAACTATGTGCTCTCTGAACAAGACCTTTATTTATGAATTATGTTGTGCAATTGTATTGCTGTCCTGTCCACTTGTTCGTGCTTTAAAATTTGTAATTACTAGTTGCTGATATGGTCTGTTCATGGATAGGAGATGGTTGAAATCATTCAGATAAGTATCAACTTGCTATTTTCTATTTTTTTGATAAATTGCTTACTGTCTATTGAGTATTTACAAACTATCAATCCTTGCTGCAGGAACTAGAAATAAGCTGTCTATTGATTATTGAGCCTAAGCCAGTAAGCCACTAAGACATGTCTACTGTCCTCTCTTTTATATACTCTCTTTTATATACTGTATTCAGCTACTCTATGCTTCTATTTAACTAATTTCCTTAGCATTTCTACTCTAATATATATGTGTGTGTTGTACGCCGCTTAGAAAAATGTATTGAAACGCTGGCCTAGGCTATCCTAGGTGCTGGGCTAGGGGTCAGCCCCTAGTTAGCCACACCCGCCGGTCGTGCTCGTCCCCTCCTGGAAGCCGAACTGGCGGCGGGAGCCGCGATCCAGTCCCGGCGGCAGCAGCAGCACCGCCACCACCCCAGGTACCACTACCACCCTCTCGACCCCGAGCACCAATACACCTGGGTGCCTTACCCCGCTGCCCACCGATGGTTTCGACCCGATTCTTGACCTGAGCTGGTGGGTCTGCGAAGATAGAGAGAAGAAGCTTGAGTTCGTCAAGTGCCTGTTCGACGAGTTCTGTGTGGCCAATGGAGACGCCAGTGTGCTGGAGCTTTGGCTCCCGGAGATGACGGCCGTCAGCCGTCGCCATGTCGCCGCCGGCGATGCCACCAGCTTGCTGCAATTCGCAGGGAGCTGTATCCGGGCTCTTACTGACATCGCGGAATCTATCCGCAACGCTTATCTCGCCGCCATGTTCAGTGTTCCTGACGGAGGACCTGCCCACGTCCAGCTGGCACGATTTACCAGAGCATTCATCTTGAAGATGAGCCCTTTTGTTGACGCCATAGTTGCTCCGTATTTCTGCCGCAGCACCGACGACGGTGAGAGTGAGATCATTGTCGTTGCTGATGGAGCACCGTCACCGACAGCAGCTGAGAAGCTCCAGCCACTGCTAGGTGTACGCGAGGCAGTGTCCAGGGCGTCACAGGACATCCGGTTGTCCTGCTGCTCCACATCATCTGTGGAAGCCAAGAGGATCACAGATGAGATGGCCAGCCTCTTGTTATCGAAATAAGGCGAGCTGGACGAGGCGATATGGAGCACCCGTCTTCTGCCGTCCACGGAGCCAGAGGATGATGGCTCGTGGTGGGGTGCTCATGTTCTGCGAGGATCATTACCGGAGGTTCATCAAGTCACTCGGGCTGTTGTAAGCTACATCAGTTTGCTGTCGGACAATTGCACAACAGTACATCGGATTGTCGGACAATTTGCAGCAAGATTCCCTGGGTATGTGCCTACAATTGACAGCATGAGCCCCCTGAACAGCCTTATCATGGAGACGGTGTCAAGTCTGAATGAAAAGCTCGCTGAGAAATCTCGATCGTTCCGGGAGCAGGGCTTAAGGTTCCTATTCTTGATCAACAACTCCTACTTCATATGGCAGCACCTCTATCCAACAATTTTGGTTCCGGAGATCAACAAATTCCTCAATGGAAAAATCGACAACTATGTCCAAACATATCTCCAAGTGTCCTGGGAACCGGTGTTGTCATGCCTGTGCAGATCTACGCCTCTCTGCTTTGGGAAAAACTACTCCCTTCTACCTAAATTTGAGTGAGTTTCAGAAAACCTACAATGGCCAGAAGTTTTGGAAGGTCTCAGACCCTAAGCTGAGGAGAAGGCTGCGGGTAGCTATTATTGAGAAAGTCGTTTCAAGCTTTACAAAATACTTGGAGTACAATGATATCAGCCCCTCAAGGATCACTCCCCATGATCTCATGGACATGTTGCAAGAGCTATTCGAAGGGTAAACAAGTAGTCAAAGAGCCAAAGAAAGATATGAACTTGCCGCAATTGTTTATGTATCCATGCATGGGTGTTCTGTACGTTTTGTTTTTTTTTTCCTTTTTTTGCCCGCGGGCGGGAGCGGGGGACTTGACTCAAAGAGGTGATTACTGCTGCATGTGCTTATGTATATGTCGATCACTGCAATAAGATAGTAATGAGATTTGTCAAATGAGGCAAACTAAGGCATGCACTTTTGCATGTGATTACTGCAATAATTAGGCAATAAGATTATTCTGAAAAAGTGTCACTCTGTTCTGCTATGTTATACTCTGTTTCGATGTACCAAAGAAACATCGTAGATGAACGGCTGCTGGAGGTGTTTGTGCAACCATACTACAAACAAACAGCCGGTCCAAATGAAGTTTCTTTTTCTTCAAATCAGATTCATCTAGAGTTATCGATCCCTAATTATTAAGGAAGATAAGGTTTCTTCGTTCTTAATCACTCATCACAACTATTCGATGGGGGATTCGACGAGCTTAATCTCTCCCGTAACTGGATAGTTAGAGTAGCGTCGCCAAACACGGTATGGAGAACCAAGCGTTTATATGGTCCTCCACTCTCTTCTGCGTCTGTACAAGTTAGTGCGTCCCTAGCAACAGGCTTCGAGCTAGCTGACGTGCCATATTTTCCAACATGCAACAGAGAGGACATCCCAAAAACTCATCGTTGGTCAAGAGTTTGTCGCTAGACTCGCACATTTCTGGGTAAAGAGCTTCATCTCTGTATGTGTCGCCCATGTCTGTGTATCATGCGAGGCAGGCAATATTTTTCTTTCTTTATTTCTCATCCCTGCCATGTCAGTTAGTGATTACATTAATGCACACATCTTAATGTGAATCCAATGACATAGTGTGTAGGGGCACAATGCCCTTAAGAACAGATTTAACTTTCCCCTTCATCTTAGGCTCCGTTCGCTTGTCTTAAAGTTTGGCTTGTTCGGCTTGTTTTTTCAGCCGGAACAGTGTTTTTCTCTTACAACAATTTAGCCGGAACAGTGTTTTTCAGCCAGTTTCAGCCAAAGTTCAGAGCAGCGAACGGAGCCTATAGAGCAGAGTGTTTAGGCATAGTGCAGAGTCTGACCTTAAAATGAATTAGAAAGCATGACATGATCTATACTTATTATTTATTTATTTACAGCATGACAATTTCTGCCACTATTATTTTTGTCCAACCTGCGCTCGTTTTTTTTCTTAGAAAGCGTCGGTCCGTGTTACTTTATTTCTTTTTTCCGTCTCCGCCTGTCCACTAGCCCTTGTTTGGCAGCTCTGTAATGTTATTCGCCGGTAATTGGCTTTCAGATGTAATATCTTGTACACTATTATAATACAACTGTATAGGGTCTGTTTGGCACAGCTCACAATAGGTTCATGAGTTATTGTGAGCTATTTTTTTTTTTTTTTGCCAAACACTCATTTCTGAAACAACTTCATGGGTAAAACTGTTTTTCTCCTCCTCTAAAAAAAAACATGAGTTGGGATAAAAGCCGAAAAAGTAGCTTACCCTAGCTTTTCTCCTCATTTCTCTCTCTCATCCATGCATAAATCTGTTGATGAAGCTGTTTTGTCAAACAATTTTTACAAAACAGTTTAGCTTTAGTTGCTCATAAAACAGTTTTCTAGAAAAAACAGCTTTATTAGTGAAGATGACCTGTGCCAAACGGGACATAATCTTACCTCCGTAAAAAAAAATTGTTTGGGTATCATGGAGACGGAGGATAGGTTGCGCCGGTCGCCCGGTAATCTGCTACTCTGCTTCATGCATGCGCTGGTCGATCGTTCTCTTCTGCAATGGAAGACGAGTAGCAGACAGCACGGTTGCCGGCAAAGCATGGCATCGTGCTTGCAGGCGAGAACGCAGTGCGCGAGAGCGAGAGCTCGATCGGACCTCAAGTACCTGTGTTCCTCCTCGGGCAGTAACGACGGCCGTGGATGAAGCTGCCAAAGGGCGTTCCAGAGTTGACGGCCGCGGTGAGCACGGTGGCCCCCGCGTGCTCCAGCATCCGCACCAGGAACGTGCCGAAGGGAGAGCCACCGCCGAGGTCCAGGCAGATGCGCACTGCACCGTGCCGTTGGGCCGCACCCCGATCATGGCGTCGATGGAGTAGGACAGCGCGCCGTCGTCACGTGCCCATTTGCCGGTCTTCCCCCGCCCGCACCACAGGTCGAAGCATGATCCGCCGCTGTTGTCACCACAGCTGCTGCCCCGGGCGGCCGCGAGGCACGAGTAGTTCTTGCAGGCTTACGCGTCTCACACGATTAGGAGAAGAGGGAGGATGGGGCTGCAGCTTCGGGGAAGGAGAAGGAGGATGCGAGGTGCCGATGGATGCGCATAGCTCCAACCGCCGCCACGGAGATGAAACGAGCAGAAGGGAGATGCCCGATAGTTGTCTGATTCCAATATGTATTGGGTCGTGTTTTTCGTATCTCGTACTTGACCCAGGCGCATGGCTCCTGCTAACAACTAGCATGTAGCAATGATACGGAGTTCAATTCGTATATGTATTGAGTCTCGTTGCAACGCATGGTCATTTTTACTGGTTATTATGAGTAAATCTCTAAATCTCTTATCCCATATGAGTTAATGTGGAGTTCGGTTCTTAGACGAATTGAAACATGTGACGTACGCATACGAGTTAGAGTTGGCATAATACATAATTCAGTTTCCAGAAGACAAATTGACATACATGACTTGATCGCTGAAAATAAGTCTCTAAGATGTAAGTTGTCTCTAAGATGTAAGTTGCCTAGGTAACCACGCATCAAGCGGTAGGTTCTATTGGATATGTTTGCTATTAAATTATAACGGTTGGCGCGTCTTGATGTAGACCGCTGCTACAATGAGCTCTGAGGAATACATTCTCCTATGATCCTATCACGGATATGAACTCATCTATGTGTCCGAAGTCCAATCTACATACAGTTCTAGGTATTGATGGCAAAAGTTTTGAAAAGTCAAATTTAGGGTGCATTTGGTAGGGCTTTATATTCTCGCAGAAATTTTTCGGATCCAGATCCTTGAAAGAAACGTTTCTGATGAATCAGAATCACTTTATGAAATTGGTTGGTTGGCAAACTGAATTTCGGGATTCAAAAAAATCATTTAAATAAAAATATGTTCAGAAAAATTTACGACCGGCGGCGGCGGGGACGACGCTGACGGCGGAGGCCGTTCGCTGCTTCCTACCGGTGGCGACAGCACCACTTCAGGTACCACCTAGACCGCCAGCACCACCACCGCCACGTCCGGTTCGGCCGGAGAACCGCGGCTTCGTGATTTCCATGCATGTATGGCTCCGCCCACGGCGCCGGTCGTAAAAGAAATCACGGAGGAGGAGCTGGAGGAAGACATGGCGAACAAGCTCGAGCATATCAAGGGCCTGGTCGTGGAATTCCGTGGCGACAACCGCAGTGCCTTGGAGAGGTGGCTCTCGGAGCTAAATGTCGGCTGGGTTGTCCACCTCGCCCCCGGAACACATGAATCTTCAGGGAGCGTCGTTGCCTCGCACGGTTTCCAATTTCTTGTCCAGAGCTGGATCATGGCTCTAAGTAAGATTGGTGAATCCATCTTTACAAGCCTTGATGAATGGTACAGCCAAAGCCAGAGGCAGGACCAGGATGAAGGAACGAGCAAGCAACCATCTGCTTCTGAATTTGCACAACTTGTCCAAGCAACTGTGCTCAAGATGCTGCCTTTCGTTGACATTGCTGCGGCAAAAACCTCCCATAGGCCGGGGGCAGTGGCTCAGAAGCTCCAGGTACTGATAGACATGCATGACGCTTTTTCCACGGCCTCGCAACATGTCCTGTCATTATTGTCCTGCTATGTACAAGAAGAATGTTCTGACGACCAGATGAGAGAACTCTTGTCAGCAGATCTGACCAAGTTGGATGAGGCCATATGGGATACAGTTGTTGAGATGAGGAATAATATCATGGCCTGGAGCTGGACAGACGATGGCGGTTCAAGTGACATTCACAAGGTCTCAGACTCCATAGTAAGCTACACCGAGGTGCTGTGGGCCAATTGCAAGTCAGTGAATCGCATTTTACATGACGCAGTTCTCCGCGGTGAGTATGATGAGCCTGAGAATGAAAACGCGAGCTATGTCTTCAACCTCATCATGGAGATGGTCTCTTCACTAGAGAGAAAGCCTTCCGCAAAGTTCCCAGAGGAGAGCCTCAGGTTCCTATTCTTGATTAACAATTTCGACTACTTACTGCAGGAGTTTCCCATAATTTGGCGTTTGGATTTTCCTCTGGTGTTGCTCACCCGCAAAATCGATAACTACATAAATAGTTATCTCCTTGTATCATGGGAACCGGTGTTGAAATGCTTGCACGATGCTGCTACACTACACCTCGTTGCTTCACTAGATACTCGTTTCCTCTACCAAAGTTTGAGTCAAAATTTCAGAAGACCTACGCTGCCCAAAAACCATGGAAGGTCCCAGACCCTGGTATGAGGATAAGGCTGCGGAAAGCCGTCATCGACAAGGTCATCCCAGTGTTTACACAATTCTTGGAGGATAACAGCATCGTCACCCCAGGATTCACTCCGAGGAAACTAGAGAAGATGCTAGGAGAGTTATTTGAAGGATGATGAACTAGCGCACCATACAAGGCAAGTTGCCCTAAGTATACTATTGTCAATACTGCTTCCATTTGCATTGAGTTCACTGTTATGCTTGGGTTTTGGAATAAAATGTTGTTGTTTCCATGGACTGGATCTCTGAAGCACGGTGCGAAGGATAGGGGGAAAATAGCTAAAGGACCACAAGTTTGTTAGTAGTTCTCTTTGTTGTGTAATTGTTGAACATTTTCTATGAAGTATCTGGAACAGCAGTTTTGCAACAGAGAGAGAGAGAGAGAGAGAGAAGACTAGAACGGCAGAAAGCTGATCTGCATTCTGTACCCCCGCCTTGTAATAGCAGCAGTGAATGAAATTATCCATGCAGTTTTAA